ATATATATATATATATATATATATATATATATATATATATGTGTACTAGTGAACATAATGTATCCTATGTAATAAATTGCGATATAACCTTGAAAAATTTTCATTCAAGTTTACTCAGCAATTTCTGCGTATAAGAAATCTACACATCTATTCATCCATATATCGTTACGAACTTTCACATTTATAACATTATTATTATTAAAAGGATATTATTGACGTTGTCATTCCTGAAAAAACCCAGTGTAAAGAAATTGTGTAGCTCAAGGCTTTTGAGAGTATCTTACGAATTCGCTAGAAATTAAATACAACAATTTCCAGGAAAAACGCATGGAATATACCATAAGTAATTATTGTAGATACTTAAATTTAGTTCAAAAACTTCTTATATTGTAAACATACATATTGTACCTAATTCTTAATAAATTAATTATTGGTTATTACCCCCTGCTCTAGCTGTTTACGCTGGTGCGGTACCAAAGAGGGGTATTTTTTTTAATGGATGATAATGGTAACACCGATACGATGTAACTGGTGGAGTAGGTATCAGTGAGTGATGATTGGTAAGGATGAAATTAGGTCAATTTGTCCATCGTGACAACATCACTGGAAATGAATTACGATGGTTCCCAGGGGAGACCGTGTGGAGGTAGACCTGATAAAGTATATTGCTAGCAATGGGGCTGTTAGAACTCATTACTATCCTTTTCTCCCCTAGTGAAAGGTGATTAGGTGTAAATATATGAAGGCAGTTGTCCCATCGCGTCGTGACGAATACATTAGTATTTAACCAATCCATTTCAGAAGGAATCGTGGGGAAATCAACATGACAAGATACTACTAGCAATGAAGAGCCGTTTGTTCCTATATCTCTCAAATAACGAGGAGAGGGGAGAAAGGGATTGTTAGTAATGGAGACTAAGAATCCCATTGCTAGCAATATGCCCAACCAGGTCGACCTTCTCGCGGTTCGCCCTGGAAATTATCATAGTTAATTCTTGATGAATTCATTATAATGGGCTAACTGACCTGTTATCATTCTCATCTATCACCCTTCACTGGTGCTCCGCCAGCGTATCCCGTTAGCGCAGGCGGGGTTACCATACCATTTTCACCCATCAAAAAAAATATCGGGGGGAAGGGATTGTTAGTAATGCAGACTACTAGGCCCATTGCTAGCATATACCCTGTCAGGTCGACCTCTTCGTAGTCCGTGAATTTCATAATCGTGCTGAATTCCATGTGTACCTATTCATCACTATGGGCTAATTGCCTGCCTTAATATTTCCATTTATCAACTTTCACTGGTGCCCTGACTGCGTATATTGTTAGCGCAAGCATGGTTACCATTCCATTATCATCCATTAAAAAAAACTCACAAGTATCTTTTTCTTTTTACAATAATCATAATAATCTTTGTTCACAAAAATTAAGGAGGGGAAAAGATTGTTAATAATGAGTCATTAGCGTGTTTAATATTTTGTTTTAACTTTAAGTGGGCAAAATGTCTTTGCGCATAGTTAAAAGTTGCGCTCGCGTCCATTAAAAAAAATATCCTTATTACTAATAATTATATTTACAAAAAAGTTAAATCTGTTTGATTTAATTTTATTGTTAACTATAGATTAAGGTTTGGAGGAAAGGAATTATTAGTAATGGAGACTGAGAATCCCATTGCTAGCAATATACCCAACCAGGTAGACCTCCTCGCGGTTCTCCCTGGAAACTATCATGGTTAATTCCTGATGAATTCATCATGTTGGGCTAACTGGCTTGTTTTCATTCTCATCTATCACCCTTCACTGGTGCTCCGGCAACGTATCCCGTTAGCGCAGGCGGGGTTACCATACCATTTTCACCCATAAAAAAAAACATAGATTAAGGTATTAGTACCTGCCATTATTAACTTAACAGCAGTCAAACAAATGTTTAAAAACCCGATTTAGTGTTACCATCTTTGTCCTTTCTGACCAAAACATAGCACTCTATGTAGATCCCAAAAGAAAAACGTTTTTTAACAAAAATTACCAAAAATGGTTTAAAACCTTTTAGATTCATTGATAAGTTCCACATTTTTCCAATAAATAAGCGTAATAACGTTCTTTGAGAATTGTTAATGATTCCAAGGTCACATACAGTATTAAATCGTAGAAGAGACTTTATCCCATTCTATGGATTACACCACTCATACAATGAACTGTGCTCAGAGAACATGATGCTTACAGCTACCTCCTACTTTCGTATATCTTGGCGTCGTCAAAAAAATCTCTATATAAATCCCTAAACAAAACTTTAGATATGAGCGAAAGAAGTTTCCAAGATGCTTCTTACTGCAAATATTCAAGTTAGTGAATGATCTTTCTGTCGAGATTTTCTCGAGAGACTACAACATGGGATTTTTAAAAAAAAGAAATAAAGAAGCTTCTTCGGAGTCGACAACGCGCTTGTAATGATCTTGGTATTGACGGTGTTCATACACTAATGTAACCGCTTATTATCAAATGAGCCATATGTTTATTCAGTATATTATATCAGTGTTTAAAAAAACTATAATGATAGATTATGATTTATCCCAATTTTATTTATTTAATAACAAACTTTCCTTTATTTTTGAAAATAATTAAAATTTAAATAGAATAAAACATAAATCTGGAGTAATCATTAAAATATTTCTATAAATGTAAAAGGTAAAAAATGTATAGGACAAGTTGCGCTTGAAATATAATTTCTCTTCATACGGTCGCCACAGCGACCAACGCGTAACGTCACTTTACCTATTTTACGTACGCTAGTATTCGTGTATTATGTGTTAACTCATATGCATACTTATATGCAGTTACTTTCGTTGCTTGTGTCGTATTTTGTTTATTTTTTGTTAATTATATGAAAAATAAATAAACATGCACTAAAGAAGAATTTTTGGAAACTCCATCCCTAAAGGATTAAAATAAAGGATGTTTGGTTATATGGAAATTTACCATTTTCAAAGTTGTATGACATTTTGTATACAATAAATTTCTGATTAGAAATATGTAAATAAATACGTATTTCAACATTACTGCAGAGCAGAGGGTAAAGTAAAAGTTGAAATTTTATGAATAATGCAATTTAATATTAGAGTTTCTTAGAAAACATAGATACCTACATACATCCCTTGTAATTTTTGGGATTTTAACCGCTAACGGAAAAAATGGAATAAATACATTAAAATAAAAATAAAAAAACTCTAATCTACATGAAATTTACTTTTTGTGTTACTTAATTGAACTAATAAACATGTATTTAAAGTTTTTAGAAATTTTAGCCTTGACACGACAAAAAGGGTTGCTACGATTTTTTTATTTATTTAAAGGTTTATTACATTTATTAGGATATATTCACTTAAAAAAAAATTATATCTGTACCTCTAGGTATAAAAAATACAAAATACGAAATGTCTTCATATCATCTCCTAGAGAGATGCAATAAACGCTTTTTCTTTATACAAACTTCACTATGGCAGTGATAAAACGCATTTCCTTAACAGATTAGCGAAGATGAAACCTAAAAATGTGCAAAGAAAAATAAAAACTCCGTAATATACTTTTGACCATTATGAAACTTCATATATTTTATTTTAAAACCTACATATTTTCATACGCCATTTTTCATTTATTTACACTTAAGTGCGAGCAAAGCTATGGGCAATAGGTACTTAAATATATGTTACAATAGTACATTACTGCAGCGGCCAGCAACTGAGGCATTGATGAACGAAAGGTCGAGGCGTAGCCGAGGCACTCATACGTTAGTCCATCAATGCCTAGTTGTGGCCAAGGCTTGTATAGTACTTTTCTAAAACAATGCGCAGAAATCAAAAACACAATTTTACTTTTTAAGTTCAATGACGAATAACGAACAATAACAATTTTTCACGCGCCATAATGTTCCTTTGTTTTTTTTTTTTTTCAATAAACAGCTTCCTATTGCAAGCCAGTTCGAAATTTATATAAAACCTTTTATTAGTTACCTCCTTGGTAGCCATGTTTCCAAGTAAAAGGTCATTCCATTTTTAAATTACAGGACAGATATGAGTTTACATAGTAATTTATCTGACCACAAAACACGACAGATATGGATTTTCATACAACTTTTGCCGGCCGCTGCCCGCTTGTATCTGGCCAGTACGGTAATTTTGATTTATCTCTAAGAAGATTGTCAAAATAATGCTCACATTTCTAAACACATTTGAAAAAATTTATTTTTCCTCCAACTTACAATTTTAGGGTTTTCAAAAGACGTGTGAAAGACCGACAAAGCGAGAATAAATAGTGAATTAGGTTTACCTAGGTCACCAGTTGATCCTCTTCAGGGATTATGCACCGAATCATGCTTCTACAATGATTTGTTGGACCATCACATGTCGAGCTTTTATAAAAAAAAAGTATATGTACCTAAATTAAATAATTATAATTAAATTGAATTTATCACAAATTATAACTTTAAACAGCAACCATAATCATTTCGTGGTAAAATACATAAACTTCAACCATCAATTTCTCAGCTTAATATAATAACGTATTTAATTTTTTCCCTGGCTTATTACTTTTGACCTATATTTTAATTCTATTTAGCTAAATACAGTTTTTAATAACAGGAAAGTTCTGCATTAATTTTTTTCTTCAGTTCTATTTAGTCCGTAAATCAGGTTTTGAATTGGTAACACTACACTCATTTGGAATCTTATAAATATGAGAACAAGGTTAGCTTAAAATGTCAATATTATTGTTTTCCAACGTTGCCAGATTGGGTAAAAATATTTCTATTCGGCTACTTTTGGAGGAATGAAATTCTGAAGACATTTTTAGAGAAAAGTGAAAATATTATTTGGCAGGTTTATTGATACTGATAAACCATGTAGCAATATATGAAATATTCGTAATTGAGTAAAAGTAAAAGAAATCGTATCGATTTGGAAAATGATATGTAACATTTGGGTATAAATAAAAAATCACTTCTGGCAACCCTGAAGTGTTCATATGTCTATTTAAATCAAAACTTACATATTTTGTTTTTCTATATTCCTTAAAGTCGTAATTTGTAATTAAAAAGAACGACGCATCGAATAAACTTATTAATCATTAAAATTGTACCAATTCACTATGATTACGAATTTTGACAAACTGTGCGGAGAATTAGAAAAACAAGAATTAGAGGTATGCTCGAATTTATTTTTTAATTGAAGAGGTTATTTATATATATTTATGGAAAAAAGTTGGGTTAGTAGATACCCTTAGTTCTCATAAATTAATTTCTAATTACAGGCCCCTAATGGAGTTGCGTCGCCTACAACCTATTCTCAACTATTAGCCATATATTTATATCAAAACGATTTGTGAGTATGTTTACATTAATACCAAATAAAATACTAATAAAAATATTATTGCATTACATACTAGGAAGTGAAAAGAACAACAAAATGATGAGTTATTTGTTCTCTATTTATGATTAAAGTTTCCAACTAGTTGCTATCTTTATCAGTAGAGGACAATAATTGTTAATAATGGATCTAACTGCTCAATGCTAACAATACTCTATTAGGTCGATTTCCATGTAGTTCCCCTTAGAAACCATTGTGTTTTTTATTGTTGAATTGGTCACAATAGGCTAATGGACCTGCTTCATCCTTAACTGTCATCCCTCACAGTTACCCAGCCAGTGTATATTGAAAAAAGGGTTTATTTTTATTTGTGGTTCTTAATTATTGATTGTACATTTTTTTATTTCTTCATCACTTATAATAACTGATATTTATATCATACTCAAAAGTAACGAAAAATAATGATGATAATATACTTCAGAAAAAGTAATAGAAAATTATAAAAATATTAGGGCATGAGCCTCTAAATAATAATATTTAGATATATTTATTTAGTATTATTTCATTTTTATACTTCTTCACAGATGTAATGCAAAATTTTTGTGGAAAAGGATACCTCAAAATGTCACAAGCAGTAATCCAGAAATAGCAGCAGTGTGGGCAATTGGTCAAATGCTTTGGAAGAAGGACTTGCCTGGTACATACCAGGCCTTAGCAGCTTACGACTGGACAGAACCGGTTGCAAACATTATTAGAGCACTTGAAGGTTTTATTTTAAATGATTTATCATCATTATCTTCCTACTCCTATCCCAATTATTATTTGGTGTCAGCATAATATATTTTTGTCTTCCATTCTTCTCTACTCACAGTCATTTCTCCATTTACTCTTATTATGGCCATATTATCTTTTATCTATGTCAAAAAATACATATCTTATAAATAAGTAACCTTTTCCTGCATGAATCAGTATATCAAATAAAATCCTTTGTGTTAAAAGGCCTTATAGCCTTATAAGTGTGGTACCAAATTGGTACTTAACATCAGGTAAACTGCATGCTCATTAGCCCCCCTGAATTATAAAAAAAAAATTCATGCCTAAGTCCATCATACAGGTTCTCAGTAGGATAACTGTGATAATGCCTCTGTCATGTTTATGTTAGCATAGCATTTCCAACATTTTAAAGTTACTGGTCCATAGTTTGTTATATTAAAAAGCCAAATACAATATAAAGTTGCATATTCAAGATGCATCTCTTTCTTGATGATTCTATTCAAATATATGTGATGCCGACCATTTTCTTTCAAATGCAACTTTTATCAATGTTAGCTATTTTATACATACACCATTCTATTATTGTTCAATGTCCAATAATGACTAACTCAGGTTCTTTCAAGTACCTTTAGTCTATTTCCTTAGTACCTATATAAATGTAACTAATATAATTTAATAATTATTCTATAAAGTAATAAATGTATAATAAAACTTTCTGTTAGTATGCTTATTATCCTGGTCGATATTAAAAACTGCCAATCTTAATTTCCAATGAATTCTTTACTCAATGTTTTTAAATACCCATACCAGTCTTCAAAATTTACTTATTAATCTACTTATATTCATATATTTTTATTCAACAATAATTTATTCTTATTTTTCAGAAAAAGTGAGAGAGAGAGCATTTAATTTAATCGGCCGTTCCTATAGCTCCATCTCACTTGACACTGTGGTTGCTATGACTGGTTTGAGCAGAGACGCAGTATTGCACTTGTGTCGAGACCGCAAGTGGACATTAAATGAAGACAATATTACAATCCAACCAACACCTCCAACACAGCCTGCACCTTTACATACCTCCAGTGAGGATCAGCTCTTCAAACTTACAGAATTTGTGTCTTTCTTAGAAAACTAAAGTAAGTTCTTTTCTGAATTATTTAAACAGCCATATGTCCTCCAAATGTACTCCAATATGTATAAAATAAAACATAAAGTTATGATGAGTGGGACTGATTGACTTTATTGAGAATTTAATAAGAAAAACACTTTTAATCAAGTTTTAAAAGTTTTTACTGTTGATGTATAAAATAAAATATAAAAAAAATACAGTATTAAAATTAAGTGGCAGTGTAATATTAGGTTCTATTTTACAATAAAGCTATAAATTATCTAAATGGTACTTTGTGATTTTGCAATAATAATCTGCCTGAATCACAGAAATTTTGAAATATCACATGCATATATGATATTTAAAAAAAATCATAATAACTAATATACAATATGTAAAATGAGTATCTACATTGATTACGCTAGGTACTTGATGCTAAACATAGTTTGGCAACTCTTGGAAATTTGATCTGATCTATTTGATGCAGCATTAAAATCTTCCCTGGAAGGAAACCTGATTTTGCCTAGGTTGAAGCCTCATAGAGTTGCTATCGTCTTCGTCTCCCAAAGTTGTTTCATAGCCTCGGTTTACTTGCCCTCCATTTGGTTCCGCAAACACATCCTTTACAGAAATATTCGCGTTTGACGTTCGATGCCGTGGTACACCATGGTTATTGTTGATCTAAAAACATGATGTACAATTTTAGATATACATATTGACTATGATTTTTTGAAATTGTTAGGAAAAAACTAACTTTATAATATTAATAGTAAAGCAATATAAAGTATATTTACTATTAAGTAAATATACTTAATAGTAAATAATTAATTCTATAATTTCTAATTATAGAAAATGAAGTTTTTATTTAAAATAATAAAATGGACGAATACTGAAGAATGAATTCGTTAAAATGAAAAAAGATTAAATATTATTAAGTTTAAATAAAAAGATTTAAATCCCATTCAAGTTAAAACAATTTACCAATCCTGTGACACCATATTCATTATTTGCACCCAATGTTTGCATTTGCGACTTCCTTCTTTCTGCCATCACTGAGTTTCTTCGAGTCTCCAAAGCTTTAAGTGTTTCTCTCCGTAAGGTCATCTTGCGATTCAATACTGGAGTGCCTGTTATTTACAATTATTTACATTCAAAATAATTATGTATTATTTGCATTTAATAATTCAACATTTTTAAAATAGCAAAGAATGGGCGGATATCTAAAAATGTATCCGTACGATACAATGTGAGCTTATCTGTTGGCTCGCGAGCTCTATCTTGGACTACATCAGCGCTTTCCATCAGGGGAAATCGTGATCGTGGGCCCCTTTACTAGTACAAAAATAAATGGCGGCATGTTCGCCCCTTACTACGTTAGATATTACTATACTCATCGAGGCTCGAGGAAATAAAAAGTTAAGAAGAAAAGTACCTGGCCCATCATTAGCATTCATATTAAAGAACCGCTTCTTGAATGCTACATCAAGAGTGCCTATATTCCTCTTCTTTTGTCTTGCCTTTTCCAAATTATGGATAGTTTTCCGTCTGCCAACATTGTGGGGACCAGAACCAGAATCGTTGTCATAGTCATCATCTAAACCATTCAACTTTTGTAAATCTTTTACTATTGCTATTGCATTTTTATCTAACAACGCATCTTGTGAAAGATCTTCCGCCTGATGATAAAAATAATTATGAATTAGTTATTGCAATAATAGTAGTAATTACGAAAATCATGTAAGGCACTGAATTTCTTATACCTTCTTCGTGCAGAACCAGTTTAATTCCGTGGATGATAAAATATGTGAAAGAGTTCCAAATCTATGGAACAACATTGCAGTAAACTGAATAACCAGAATCAAAGCGAAGAAGAACACGAATACTAGACCAATTGGTTCCAGTTGCAAGTATTCTTTCGTAATTAATACCTGTAATTTTAATCATATTGATTAGCTGATATACCATAAAACAATAATTAAGAAGTATCAATTCCACAAAATCTCATAGAAAATGATTCCTGGTTACTACGATTATAAAATGTTCGCTTCAAATAAACGAAATATATGTATTTTTATTTCTATAATGTAGAATGGGTAATTCTAATTTTACTGGGTTTGCAGTAATAACGAATTTGTTCTTGATACGAGTATGATTTTAATACGAAAACAATGAAATATATACAAATTCACAATATGTTTGTATTGTGAATTCATATATAGGTATATATTCTAATCTATAATAAACTGACATGGACTCAGGATTCAATTTCCATAACTGTTTACCGTATAAAATGAAAATTAATTTTGAATGACTGATTCAATTAAAAAGACTGATTGTGCAAGATTAGATATTTTTAAAACATTTACCTGAACATGATAGTGAATTGTGTAACATGTAATGTGGAATAGCTAATGAGCTGAACCTTATATGGTTCACACATATAGAAAATAAATGTTTATGATAAAATAAATTAGTATGATTTTTTATAAATTAAATAATTTGTATGAACACTCAAGAGTTACCATAACGTTAAACAAATCACCGCGTCTTACGAGATATATATATTTACAAGGGAAACCAGTGACCCTGTTACCGTGTTTAATTAATAGAAAAGTTCCGCCACCTTAATAGACAGAATAGATACATTATTAACTTTCCAGTGTATTTATTGGTTTGGAATTGTGCACAGTTGGAAGGATTTATAAAGAAATTGCCAATACAGGCCGAAAAAAAACACGTATTTTCCGATAAAGTGCATTTAACACAAGTATCTAACTTTATATTAATTTAGGATATCTTCTTTTATTCGATCAAATTTTTAGGATTTTGGGACTTGGATTTATTAGGGTCTATGGAACCATTAAAGTGTCACCCAAACTGTTGAATCCTGCATCGATAGGACTTCATGCTGGTGTGCCATCCCAAGACAGACCGGTTAGAAGAAGGTCGTTAGACTTGTGAAGTGACACACATTGAGTGGTAACATTTGGCTATACCTCGCCTGTATCCTCGATGTACGTAATGTTTGTCTTTATCCCCAAAGGCCAATCCACGTGGAGTTGATCTTTGTTGAGTTGTAATAAAAACACTATCAGTATAAATAAAGCATTGAACATAACAAATGCAAAAACTGACTTATTACGAAGTTCTATCAAATCGCCAGCGATTCGGGCCTGTAAAATTTAATAAAAAACAAGATTGTTTATTAAAATGCATCAACTTTCAAGGGTGACTGGGAACATTACATAAGTGGACAACAACCGTGGATAGAAGTAATGAAAGTCGCGGTCCCAAGTCATCGTTGAAGGCCGATCACTGCATAGTGGAGTCACACGTTACCTCTTGTGAAACCTCATCATAAGTTATATTAGTTTTAACTCCAAAGGGCCATTTAAAGTGAATGTTGTCCTTGTTCAGTTGTAGCAAGAATACAATAAGTACAAAGAGGGCATTGCACATAAAGAACGAAAAAACAGATGAATCTCTCAATTCTTTCAAATCCCTCGAAATACGGGCCTAAAATCATGGCAATATTAATATCAAATAGATACCTTTAATACACACAATAATACATTAATAATCTGATACCTGAAAAGCAAACTTATTAAAAATAATACGTACATTTTAAATACATAATTATTTTTACTTTAAAAAGAGAATTTGTTTTAGAATACTTTTATTTTTTTTTTTTAACTAAAATTGTAATAATTTTTTTTTTTTAACTAAAATTGTAATAACACAGCAAACTTGGTAATAAATCAAAAAGTTGCATAAAAAAAAATCAAAAAGTTTACTATTCTTCATATTTGCCAAAATACAAATTTATAGGTATTTTGTGCACTATGTCTTCGAATGTATTATACTGATTTTATGCAATTACCTGTTCATCCTTATTTGCATCGATAGGATATAAATATTTGTCGATAAGATCTTTCCAAAACTGTAATTCAGCTGGACTCAAGAAATCCACTTCTCCTTTTTTCAATTCTGGGTCTTCAATCCAATAAGGGTTTATAAGATCATCTCTCCTTTCCTAAAATCAAAAGCACAAAACTTATTATATTTCAATAACATTTTGTTTATGAATATTCAAAAAATATTTATTCGTTCTTACTCTCGGAACAGTAGAAAGCGTATCCGTTTCAGAATCAGAATCGTGTTCTTCTTCTGGACCTTCGGCGAGAGCATCCAATTGATGATCTCCATTAGTACTACCGCGGTGACCCACTGATAATTTCCGGCCTCTATTCAACCCATGCGGATCAATCGACCTATAATTAAAATTATTATTAATGGTTTTGCTAATATAAATGGATAATATTTATACATAACTATTGATATACCGACCTTTCAACGATATCCATTTTTTTCTCCAACTTCTCTAGCGTGGATGCTATATGTAATAACTGTACCTTTTCTTCATTTCCTTTCGGATGAGTGCACAATAAACATTTAAAGAGACCAGCAAATGAAAACTCAATAGATCCTTCTTCCTCGTTACTGTTTACTCCAGATAAGAAACCAAGCAATGATTTCTGTTTAGCTTTTTTCTTTGCTTCCTCAGCTTCTTTCTTTTCTTGTTCTATTTCCTAAAATGTATACAAGAAATTGTTACGACCTTATAGGAAGTTACATACATATTTTTTAAAATAAATTACTAATCGATGCATAAACGTACCTTCTTAGTTTTCTTTGTCTGTACTTCTCGAGTACCCCATGATACAACATTTAAGTTGATAACAGAATACAAAATCAACAGCAAATACATAGAAGGTATAGATAGAAGATAAATAATACCCGGTACAATACACCAAAATTCTTGCGGATGCAAACATGCCGCTATGAAAAATGAACTGGAGAGAGCTATCAAGAAAATAGCTGAAGGAGAACCGATGCCGTCCTCGCCTAATTGTAGCGCAGTACCAACAATCACAGCCATCATTATCATAGCATATGCTGTAGATAATATTTGTGCCACCAACAACTGAAATATAATAATTTTATTAATTTCAATTTGTGTAAAGACACTCAATGTAATCCTATAGATTTAGATAACTAAACTTGTAATACTTGTATTGATAATATTTCTTCAAACTATACTATACCTTGTCCTGTTAGATTCGATATTGGAATTCAATGAAGACTATTTACACAGTTAATAATCTTAAATTCTATTTCTTAATTAATCTATGATTTTTTTATTAATATTATTACCTAAATTACTAGCGAATAATCGCATCTTTGTCCGCATGGAATTCTATTGTAAATAAGCCCATAAGGAATGTGCAAAATAACCACATTTGTTCAGCCAATTGTGTACAATTGAAGAACAAATATCCAAAAATTTTCATATTTCATACTAAAATTGAGTATTTTACTAAAATTTCACATTTAATTAATTAAAATAATATTAAAAACTTTTACAACCTGAATTTCGGATTTCATCGTGAAGCAAACGAACATAAAAATCAAAATAGGGTATAAATTATACTCGAAGGAAGTCCAGTTGTCAATTCGAAAAGCCGCCACGAAAGCACCCACTAACATAAGGAATATAGTGCCGGGGCCCAGGATTGTACCGCCCATCAACATCATCTGAAATCAAATATTTTATTCACATTATTATTTTTTGACACTTAAACTACCACAGCGGAAGATTAGTTAACCTGCCTAGTAGTAAACGATTACCGTAACTTTTAACATGAGAAATATCACATACACGTATCCGATCCTGAAGAAATTTTTATATACAGTTTTTGAAAAACTGCTATAGACTGAAGTAATAAATATTCTTAAATTTATAATTATATTAAAACAATAAATTAATAACCTGATATGCAATATATGGTGTCGAGATATTGTCATTAATTTTGATCGTATGCTTGTAATCCATAAGCAAATCCATAATATTAGCAATAGTCGATGGTACCCAACGACGACGCTGATTATAAAATTCGCTGAAACCTTCAGGACAGTGAGTGTATGCGTCTGAAGCAGCTGAATATTCTACACGATAGCCACGTTGCAGTAGAAGCGTACATAACCAACGATCTTCTCCTAAAAAATGTTAGATAAAATTTTATAAATGGTAAATACTTATTGCTGTTATTTACACTTATATACTAGTTTTTACCTTGATCGTATTGTACGTAATGTCGAGCTTCGTCTGATCGCAAAGTATATTTTTTCATAACGTTATCATCCATCAAAGCCTTTCCTCTGAATAGAGAAAAACACCCAGGACTACAAAGCACGCATCCAATCATGTGTTCCGTCGCTTTTTGCAGCCAATGACCAATAGCATATTCAAACATTTGATACCATACCATCGGACCTGAAAATTATATATATCATAATAAAATTTTCAAATAGAATCATCTCAGAATGAACGCATTTGGACAGAATATCAAAATTGCATCTGTCACAAAATTCACTGACAGCCAATTTTTATGTAATGAAAAGAAATTAGAACACACTTGTTCAGAAACACAGGGACTACTGACCAAAGACACATAAAATAACTGGTTTGAAGCATACTAAAGCATAAGCAAACTGGTTTGAATTACTTGAAGGGCAAAATTATATCCACATTCTAAAAATGTTATAAATTGTTCCATTTTATAAAAAAATAAAATATGCCTTCGCTTTGCTGATAGAAATAAAAACAGTAGTACATACCTGAGCCAACGGGGTGAATACGACCGCAAGCAGCACCCAAATTCTTGTTTTTCTTCATCAAATCAATAAGCAGTCTTACAGCGTGTGGTTGGAAATCAATGTCTCCATCAAGTGTGAGTAAGTACGTGTTCTCTGCCATCACTTCCTTCCTATCCACAGATATTGGAAGCTCCATCAAACGGTGGCCCAATAAATAGTACATATACATCACCTGAAATAATATACTTTTAACTTTCGTTCTGTCTTTATTACTAGTATTTTGGACTACACTATGATTATATTATACCTGAGACCAACGTTTTCTGTGACGAATTTTTGCTTTATCTTTAAGATGACAAATCATTTTGGTTTTTCCTGGTAAAACCCAGGTTAATCGTCCTCCATATGGTGCAGGATATTTCTTCGGAGGTCGAATACGAATTATGGTCTGATGTACTTCAGAGGCAGCTTCGTCGATAGTGTCCACTAGAAGTTTAACGAAACGATTCACTTGAGAATCGTCGTCACTGTGATCTGATATTTCAAAAGCGTCGTCCAGAAAGATATGTGCTGAAATAAATTTAATAAGATTAGATTTTATAATAAAATCATTAATTGAACATTCCAATTATTGAAAAACAGCATTACTTTCGAATTCATAATAATCGGGGTCTACCACACGAAGATACTTCTGAGCGACACGGCGAGCACATTGATCTTCATCTAATCGAAGGATAGACTTCAAGAACTCCATCATCTCATCTTTAGTTTCATGCCACATAGTAGCGCATGCATATATTCTGGTAATTTGATCAGACGACTTCACTGTTTTAGGAGTGGAACCGGTGTTGTCTGTGTGAACTGATATAGTCTCATAGTATTCGTCTCCTTTCTCTTTTTCAATTTCAGCAAGATCCTAGAAAAAAATAAAATTTTGTATTTTTTGTCCAATTCTTAAACTTATAAAGCTGTTCATCTAGATAGATAATGTTAATTTTATTTTTAAATTTATCCATGACATAAAACTATGTTAGATTATTGTAAATCTACTTATTTGCTTTAATTACATATATCTGCACTTATTGATTTAATTATATTACGAGACTCGGATGTAAATATAAATAGTAAGACATTATTACTTTACCTCAGTCTTAACATCTTTGTGATCATCTCGTTTTCTGTTCAACGCCATACTTTGATCTATAAGCAATCCATTGTACATAGGTAAGACGAATAACTTTTCAGTTGATGCCAGACGTTCGGCTTTTGGAGTCCATATGTGTATTGTGATCCAAGTCTGTGACAGCAACCATAGCAGCCAAATCCATGCCATTTGTCGAGATATGAAATCGCTAAGTGTGAAGACTAAAAATAAAAAAGTTAGTTTAAGAAACTTATTTTCACAATTATCTTTCCGAGTAGTAGTACCATAACAGGAAATAACAACTAAAAAATTTAGTTGAAGAAATTGTAATATTATAACATTACCTGGAGGACTTTCAAAGAAGAGGTAATCTGGTACAGTTCCGTGGAAGAAGCAGTTATCGCCGTTCCTAATACCGCATGCTGCGATTAAAAAATTTACCACCAATGGTATCACTAAATTGATAGGAAAAGCATAACTGAATCCTTGAATCAAAATCTTGCAAGCAAATTTCCCAAAAATGTAACAGAAGTAGGCTGCAAACACTTGAATGAGTAATACGTAAAACGCTGATTTATGTGCTGCTGCAATTTCCACGGAATCTCCCGTTAAAGTCACATTTGCCAGGTCCGGTATTACGGTACCCCCGAGTTGAATTTGAACCTGAAACATACAAGATTTTTAAATCGAAAACTACACGTCAAACAAACAAAAACAATGTCGACCTCTGTGGTGCAATATTGGGCACTTTGTGTTAATGAGGTCCCGGAATCGATATCCGGGCGGGTCCAATTAGAAAACGAACTGTTTTTAATAGGCTCGGGTTACTGTATTCTGGGTTATGCCTCCATACGCTCACTTTTTGTGTCGTAATATAAGAACCAAATGATTAGCGTAATTGTGTAGCACTTATTATTATATAGATTTCTTAAATATACTATTACTCAAACCATAATTAAATCTACCTCTTCAACAACAATGTTATGTGGTCCAAATCCTGCGTTAAATAGTTGGAAAAACATAGCAGGTTCGTCGCCGTCTATCCATATAGCGAATAAAATGCAAACAAGGAACAGCATTATCTTCCATACTGACATAAATCTGTAGATGAAGTACCGTGAGAGATTCAGTTCTTCTTTTATTCTTCCTAGACTTTTGATGATACCTAAAAAACATTTAATTTTGTGTTTATGATTTATGTTAATTCTATCGATGTAAAGAATATGTTTCTTTTACATATACAATTTGTAGTATTTGCTTACCGATTGGACTTTGTCGTGTAACATAGTTCTCCCACCAGCCCAGTGATATGCATAATGAAGCCACAGGTATTAACCATAATACTGGTTTATTTTCTGATAAGGGCCACACAAGGAAGCCAGTAACTTGCGCAACTATGGCTACCATATCTACAATTACTTTTACAAATCGTTTTGAATCTCTTGAATTACGCGACAAAAGTCCCAGGATAGCAGGAACAATACAAAGACAATTTGTTAACATTGCGCCTTTTACCACATCTATTTCAGGGAGGATTTTGAAGAATAATATTGCCATTCCTATAGTGTGAAGAGATTCTGCTATAAACACCTGTAAAATTATACAAAAAAAATCATGAATTCATAAAATTATTACGGCCATAGTATAAAATCTCTTGATATATAGGTACAAATATCGAATCCAAACGTGGTATTTTTAGCTACTGCAGCACACATATATAGCTCCTCAAATTTTGTCACTTTTAGAATATATAATAACATATGATAAAAAGTAAATAATTAACTTACTACAATAAACTGTGCGCTTGTAGGACGTTTTGATGATTTGAAGAAGCAAATTCTCACAGATCGTATCAACGTTCCTATTTCAGGAATAGCATATGCCGCGAGTAGAGCCCACATCCATGCCACTCGTTCTTCATCTGGCAGGCTGACTAAAAATTGTTTATCTCTACCTGAAACATTAAAACGAACGAAAGATGTACGATAAGATGGGGTTCTCAAAATAGACTGAAAGAAATCATTTAAGGGATAAATCCGTTTATATTAAGTTTATAATAAAAATGCACATCGACATTATTATTTATTATAACCTAATATCTATATTATTTTTCGTGAATAGGCCACCATAGAATAGACCACCCCTTACTTTCCCGTGGGTGTCGTAAAAGGGAGGGCGAGGGATAAGCTACGGCGTCCTTCTTAAAACATCTCTAAAGCCTAACTGCGGTTGCCAACACGCCTACCGAGCGTGGCAACTATTGGCAAAACTCCCCTTATGGAGAAGCCTTATGTGCAGGAGTGGACAATTAACGGCTGATGATGATCTATATTATAAGCGAATGTACGGAAGCATATAAATAAATAAAAATATATTATCAAGCGAATAAATATCTTGCTTTTGGAAGTGTTAAATATAATGTGTTTTACATTATTTTAATCTTAGATTCAATTTAATATTTGAATTTAATAATTGTATTGTACTAAATTATAATATTCTTTTAAACGTCTTTGCCTATTTGTTGTATGCCTATTGATACACATGTATCAGACATAGACTGTATCTATATATTCTAATCTATTGTATATTATTACAGGAATATTCCTGTAATGATTAGATTCGAATAAATACTATCGATATGTCCAATTTTTCTATAATTTAAAACAAAGCAAACACCAAACATACGATCGTAGCTAGTTTTATAAGTGTACTTGTCAACTTACCTAAATTTTTATTACAAAAAGTTATTCGCCTATCTTTTTTTAGCTGCGAGGTCATAAAGAGCACGGTGCCTTTTGCAATGACTCCGGAGCCCAATACTACGACGAAGGTGACGAGATACGCCAGCACCTTGAGCAGCCGTACAGTGAACTCCAGACATTTCTGACTTTCCATCGACCCACTGTCCTGCTTCGGCGGGAACTCTCGGAACACGTCCCATCCTTTTGTTTCGTGCACTGTTCTTTGGCTGTAATAAATAAAAAAAATACATTATGCATGGATAATGTTTAATTTGTAAGATCACTTTGGTACTTTAACAATAACTAATCATTTACGGCGTCTTAAAAAAGTACATTATATCAACTTGCGCTTTTACTTTTGGAAAAATAAGGTAAACAAAATATGGATAAAATCAATAAATGGACGTAGTTAGGGTTAATAAATACTCCTAATTCCATCATAAATAGTACCAACATACTCCTACATAGGTATAATGTATGTTCATACCTACTATACTACATACGAGTGTAATAGTACTCATATCTTTATGCTTCTCTGCCGATGTTACACGAGAAAAAATATATTCATCAAGTGAAATCTCACGCAATGCTGCGTTGTCGCATGCAATGGATATTGATTTCCTTCCGATAGATATATATACCTATCTACAGAATCTACTTGGATATTACAATTAACGTTATCTTAGAAAAAAAAAACAAGGAAACCTATTTCCTATTAACCCGAGCTGATTTTCAATGCGTATACCGTTTTCCCTAAACGCACGAGTAATATAACGTACTACGTACTCACAATGCAATTCCAAAAAGAGACAAGTAAATGGTTACATTAGTGTGCGCATTGACGTATTTAGAATTGTTTTCCAGGTAGGGCTTGGTCCCTAAAAAAAATCTTATTTCCATCTACTATTAGATATATCTGTCCACAGCTAAAAGCTCACTTCTAATTCTGAGGTGGGCACGGCTCATCCGGCACCCCCTTAAATATACCTATGTGTGGGCGTGTTTTGTAAATGTGTGCACGTGACAGTTCAAAATAAATATGGATTTGAAATGGCAAAAATAGTTCACGTATATACGAAATACTTCACGTATTTGTTATAATTTTAATTTAATTGTTATATATGTTAATTCGTGGACATCTAGAACTTTATTTGGATTAAATTACATTTTTTTTTCTATCAATTCTATCAAATTATTTCTGGCGGTTTTATGATATTACATTTAAAGAGGTAGATGTTTATATCGCAATCGCAATACGTGGAAGTTGCAACTTTGTAGTATTTTGCAAAATTATATTATATCCAGGAACATCACACTTTAATCAATTTCCTTTATTTAAAACTAATTACACTTCAACATTTAAATAATATAACCATTTATTTTGTTTATGTTCCTGCCAAATCAGCTTCGAGCTTATATTGCATACGAGAATGCCCTACTTTTCTATCTTTCTCTAACATATGTTATTATGCTATTTTTACATTGCCAATCTTTATACTTTATAATCTAAGATTTCCTATGGTAATCACCAAGTTTCTAGATTCCACGATTAGTCAAAATCAACGCAGAAGAGAGAGCTCCTTATGAATGTTTTATCGACTTAGTGATCATGTGCGAGACAGACATACAGCCTTAAAATTATTTATGATCATGTTTTAATGTGATAAATATTTCTTTAATTAAAATCATAAATGAAAAGCTAAACCTTACTATGGCTTTTATCACGAGAAGTTAAATATTGTAAAAGACTTATAAAAAACATTTTATAAATTTATGAATTTTAGAGAATGATCTTTATGTTTAAGTTATGAAAATACTACTGCCACTGTTATATATTTCGACACAATTCGCGCACTTAGTTTGCGCAGTGTGTACTGGTTATGACAGTAGTGTTTACGTAAGGCACGGTGTATACAACGACGGTAACCCAATTAAACATTGCGACCACTTAGTTACATCGTTTGCTCACTGTGTCTTGCAGTTTGACCAAGAATTTTACGCGTGGAAAGTATAAGATGTTCTATTGTTTTAATATTATGATTATTATTTTATAGATATTTTGGAATTACAAATTACACTGAAGTAACTTGAAGAAAGTTAAAAACAGGTGAAGTTATATACGATATCAAACTTAAACTTTTGTGACAGGAAAAATTTTACAAATAGTTAAAGATTTTGTTCCATAAGGAAAGCAACTATGTCACAATCAATTTGAGACTAACATGGGAGCAATCAGTTGCTATTTTAAGAGATGTTACTGACTATCAGTATCTCCCCATTTTACCCATGATCGTATCGTTATCGTGCACAGCCTATATCCTTCTAATCCTATATATGTTAAATGTAAAAAAACTTCAAATTTAACTGATAGTTCCAGAGATTCATAAACATCATATCAGCTGTTAACTGTCAACTTATGAACATAGACCTTCCACCTGGAGGATTTTGCCAGTGATTGCCATGCTTCTCCTTCCAGAGCTTAGCGTCTTCAAAATGAAAACAAATTCTTTTGAATTAGAATATATTCAGTAAGAAGTGGAACATCCTGTATTAACTCATAGTATTAATAACACTCATTAAAAGTTATTAGAAATAATCTTACCTGCTTCTTTATTGCCGAAACAGGTATGTAGGTACTATTGAGCTGTAAAAGCTTTTACATCCTGTTAAGTCACGATTGTGTATTTAAAATATATGTAAACAACGCGAAAGTTTAAAATTAGCTAATTTTAAAATTTTATCAAAAAGCACAAGGTGACTGCGTATGTTATAAAAAATCTACAGACAATAACATTTAACTTTACTTTTTTCTATATTCGATAGTACGATATATAGTACGATAGTTCTTAGTTTTTTGAGACATTACTAAAAATATTTAACAGTACAAAAGTCCCGAAGTAATCGATACCTATACGACTGATGATAGGTACAACAAAGACAAAAAGTGCCCATATTTGCCATTGTTTTATATCATCACTGTGAAAGTTAGTTGCAAAAATTTTCCACTTTATTATTTGTCAATTCATTGGTGCCTGGAATTAGCAAGTACAGATTTAATAAAATCCACAACTTATATGAATACATTGTGAATCTATTAGCAAAAATTTACAAAAATTTCGATAAATGTCTTCATGATTTCGTTACCTGTATATACTACAATAATGTAACGTCCCATTGCTGTAAAGTGAGTTATTATTATTTGCACCATAAATAGGATCTTCTGATTCCTTTTCGTGGTAACTTTTACGATCGTATTCACTCATTTTCTACCATTACTTCAAATATATGAACACTGACACAACGCACTCATCACTGTCACAGCCGGAAAGGGCATAGAAAGTGTCTTTCTCGTATGAATATTATTCAATAACTCAGCGTGCTGATATGAGGACAGCAAACGGTGCGATCGCAATAACGACTGTTATGAGCCGATACGCAGACCCACATCGGACAGTGATTCTCCATTGTCTATAAGTGGACAAAATGTGAATATTAATTCATAAAATACAACTAAGGAACTACTTGCGTTCTCGGAAGTGAATTGAAACATTGGACACCTTTCCAGCGATGAATCCAAAATATTGTAAAAGTAGATTTTTATATTTTTTTAATGATGCTTAAAATGGTAAACGAACTAACAACTCACCTGATGAAAAATGGTACCCATCGCCTATGAATATAAAAAGAACCATGAAGAACCGTAACATAATGGTATCATATTGCAATACCATTGCTGAGGAGTGTTTTATTCTCTTACATTTACAGTTAAATATGCTATAGAAAATATTTCCTTTAGTCTAAACTAGGTATAGGATCTCTATTAATAAATTATACTTATAGAGATTCCAATCTTTAGTTCTCAAAATTTTAAAACAATTTAAAGTATATTTTTTTTACAATCGTAAGTAGTTTAAACTAATTTTTTTTTGTTCTAAATATAAAATTTAACTTTTTAATTGTCATATAACTTTGTCCAGTTTGGTTAATACAGTCATCAATGTGCGGCAAGTCGGTTCTGCAGCAGTGGGCATGTGAAATCATACCATCGGTACGGTAATTGTTATTATGATCGCTTATTACCCTGACTTTAGAAATGAAAGTAACTTTCATGTGTGAACAAGTTACAAATTAGGTACACACGGAAGACTTACGTCGGGAACAAGATAAGAAGTTTGTTAGCAGTATAATTAAAAATTAAGGAATAAACAATAAATTATTAACATACTTCATAAGTATGCCAAAAATAGAAGTAAACTATTTATGTACTGATGAAATTTATATTATTATTATTACTTTACATTGAAAGACAAATTGAGAGACATCTCATTATAACATTTCATAATATATGAAATTCATATAAAGACAATAATTTTACAATATAGGAAGTATTTTTGTATTACACATTTCAGAATTCAGTTCGAGAATTTATACACATTACAAAATGTTATGACCTTCCTCTACAAACTATGTAGACAGCCGCCGTCTAGGTGTTATCGCCGAAACCTCAACCTAACAGGCTCTAGGCGTTTGCATAGCTTACCTACATGTTGCGAACAATAGATCACTCAATGTCGGTTCACTCACGAAAACTTACGAAAGCCTTCGCATGTCTAATAGGCATTAGGTGTGCCATAAATACAATAAAATATTATTAATATTTTCAATATTATTTTTTTCATAATGTGTCTAATCACGATATGTGTTTTTAATAAATAATTTAAAAAATAAATCCACGTTTTCGGTCCACCTAATTTCGACACAAATGGTAAATTTGATCTGCATAAGAACAGCGACTTTATATATACATTAGATTGAATACTTGAATTTAGAAAGCAAAAGCAGTATGTTGCTCTTTAAAAAGAAATCGCCCATCGTAATCGATAGCAAAAAGAGTCATCAAAAACATTTCATGATTGGTTAAAACAGACAAACTAACTTAAAATCTCCTCCATTCAAAAAACGTTTAAAAATTACTAATTTTAAGGAATGTGTCATTCTAATATATATAATATTAGGTTTTCTAAAATTAAAATAGAAAAACATTTTAGAAGTTTTGGAAACTTCTAAAATTACTATTTGTGACTTAATAACTTTCGCGAATAAGTTTTTATTACGTCTCACCATAAAGCAAGTGTTTGTTATTCGACACACCGCCATCAGATTCATGTCCATTCATCCAATGCCCAAAGTTAACACAGGTCAATGACCGTTGTCTTTCTGGAATGAGTATAACTATACTTAGATAACGCACCAACAAATTTCCATTTTTGTTACAGTGTGTATGTTATACTTATTTGTATATTTATTAATTCAAATATTTAAAATTATATAAAAACCAATACAATTTAATATAGATATTTAGTCCAGATTGAGATGATTTCACGGAAAACATTCTAAGCACTAAACTTTATTCCTTCCTAGACAACGGACTGTAGAAATACAAATGCTTACCTATTAAATGTAAAACTAACGTTTACGATACTCATCCCATATTCCATTCGCGTCTGACCACGACGGTACCTACCCACGACCAAAATATTCATTACCAGTGCGTCTGGTACCGTTCTATTTAATTTAAATATATACTTTTAGACTAGAAGAAATTAAATTTATACGAATTTTACGGAGTGCTTTTGAAACACTCAATGCATGATTTTATAGCAACTCTTGACCATAAGACTCTTGGTGCCCTGGTGTGTAGATACGCAATACGAGCATACGTTTAAAGCCATGTTATATTTTTTATACAACTTAGAATGGCAAACAAGCTGACGGCCCACCTGATGGAAATTGTAACCGTCGCCTATAGACATGAGCAGTACCATGGATATACATATATATGGTTTTATTCAACAAAAAAACTACTTCAATGTTTACAAATATCATCATCATATCAGTTTTTAACTGTCCACTGCGGAATATAAGCCTTGGAGCCTTAGCCTTGGGAGGTTTTACCAGTACTTGCCACGCTTGGCAGGCGGATTGGAAACCGCAGTTAGGCTTTGAAGATGTTTTAAGAGGGACGCTGCTGCCCATCCCTCGCCTCCCTTAAAGGCCTCTTACGACACCCACCCAAATAACAAGAAATTTGTAGTGTCTCTATAGACAAAATCGATTATGTAGCATCAAACCACAAGGCCTTAGATATTGTTATTATCTATAGATACACAAGTTCTATCTATAAGATAATAACGCATTTTTAAATGCAGTTTGTTGTTTAATGCTATAATCCAAAGGCGATCTCCTTGAACCGTAAAAAATTAAAAGTTTAAATGTCAACTTACGACGTAAAACAAGGATTTATCAGATTCTAGTATTGTAAAAAAAAATGGAATGTTTAATAAAATAAAATAATATTAAGAATATTTTATATTATATACCTATATGTATATGATGTGATGCTTAATATATACCAATCCTTATCAATATTAATAGATTGCAAGTGTAAGGTGAATTCAACATTGATTCAGCTTATTCTCCTTCTATCCATTATTTAGATGATGCTGCCACGTTTAATTGAATCAATGACTAGATATCAGAGATATTATTTGTATCAGCCGGTGACAAAGCTAAGTGGGGCGCAAATGTGGCGCAGTCGATTGATCGAAAGTTGTGTCGTCAGAGTTGACAACCTTGGCATTTGAGCGGATTCCGGACTCGAGCTACGGTGACCGATCGGTAAACGTGAGTCGACCTCAGATAAATAAAATAGCTGCAGTACAGTTATCATGCTATAAGCTATATATCTCTATATACGAATATGTATTCTTTAAAGCGTTAATATAGAAATAATAAAACCACCTGGTTTAAGTACTTTTAGCATAATATCTCATTTACTGAACCCTTAAATTTCCAAATAACGAATAAGTTTTTCCATATAGCATGTAGCTGTATATAACTTTCATTATACATTCTAGAATTGTTGAATGGTATAGATTGCCTACAATAAGATATTCGTTTACTCTTATTATGCTGACGAGATGGATTATTTATTTATTAAGAATGTTTTTCAACTTTCTGTTACATGGTACCTTGTTACCTGGTCGCATTTTATGTGAGGTGACACAATAAATTGTATTCTTGCTTCGTCAACGCACGACAAACATTTTTCTATAATGTTCTTGAATTCCATAACATTGAATAATACGCCATATAGAAGATATCAACAAATGTAGATTATAAGTATCTACTGTAACCACTGATCTATGAAAGGATATATTTAAAATAAAAAATGTGAGAAGTCTTAATAAGAGCCAAAAAAAGCCAAAACAATATTTTTGGAATTTCAATTGTAGTTTTTGCCTGACTATTGTAACAAATACAGTTTTCACAATCGAGTTGCCGAAGGTTGATCTTAAAATCTGATGTAGGGTGCATTTTATTTCGATAAGCTCGATGCTCAATCTAAAAGTGATCTATTTAATAGTTTTTTTCTACTTCAAAATCCACGCGTACGAAGTCGCGAGCAAAAGCCAGTTATAAATAAAAAAAACCACAGCGATCATGCAAAATTAACAGTTACATTTTAAAGATGTATTATGGCCTACTAATTATTTACATTTGACCTATACAATTTTTATCTGTTATGAACAAAAAGACCTTCATAACAAAGGTAGGTGCTAAATTTTACATAACACTAAAATCAGTTTTTATTAACACATATATAAGTTGACACTGAAAGTGTTTTCATACTACTTTAATACCTGTATTGTGTTTAATATACAAACTTATGAAAAGGTTGTAAAATGTAAACAGTGAAAAGTTGCAACAAAAGACTATATGTTTGAAATTAATAATTTAACTTAATATTTATTTCTTATTATAAATATCTGAAAACAAGCAATGAATTGTGACTAGACAAAAAATCTATAGCCATATCATTGAACTTTGTATAATCTTGTATCATCAAATGATCGCAGATACTGATGACGTGTCGAGCTTAAATTTTGGCCCAACCGTGCTGATGTCATACATAACAGCCGACTACGTCTTCTACCCACAGACGTCGTACTCGTAACATATTCACATACATGTAAATATAGTACTATCATCTATTATAGAAACAGCATATTCGTACAAGTATTAATTTGTCATCTCTCTATAGTAATACCTATATATTTTGTGTAAATATTGAAAAAATATATCTTTATTATGTCACAATTGGATTATACACTATAATGTTTTAGAACTTGAATCATAAAATGAAATTAATATTCAACTAGCGGTCCTTTTAAAAATGTATAAACTGTTCTTAAAAATCCCCAAGTATTTATTACCGCTACCTGTAGTGTGTTCCATATTTTTAAGGCGCATAGCAAAAATTATTTCGTGAAACGAACTTACAGTAATGGATTGTTAAACATCAAAGTGACGTTGGTGGAAATTTAATGTATTATTCACATGCTGTTTCCCGCGATTTTTCTTGCGTAAATTAGTACTATATTACTTTTTTCGTGTAGTACTTTACATAAAAAAATTATAAACTTTACAAGTGACTTAATGAGAAATGTTTTTATTCATTTGAAGACTATTTTAATGTAAAATGTTAACGACAAGTTACAAACTAAATATTTGCACGCCACACGGTTGATTGCAAAGATTTGTATTTAACATTTGACATTGTAATGTAATAACCCATATTCAAGCAATCTTATTATAATTCATTCATTCATTATATGTTAAGTTAGGATATAACCAAATTTTATTCAAATTCGTTTAGCCGTTTTAACTTAATTAAGAAACAAACATTAAAACATACAAATATCTTTATAAACTTTCACATCTATAATAGTAGTAGGATAATATACATAATAAATTTAAATATTTATATGAATATTTAAATTTAATATAACGGTGAAAGTAACTTTGTTTTTTATATTATAGGTAGATATATCATTTAACCAAATGCCATGAAATTTAACATACACAAAATATTTACCATGGAAATATACTTCGGTACATATCATGCCAATCAATGAACATGTTATCATTAGAAATAAAAATCATTATACGTAAGTAAAGCTAAAAAAACAGCCAATAAAATATTAACAAATATATATTACATTTCCAACAACATAATACTTAATTTTTCTTTATCAAAGTGATAATTTAAATAATGTCGCGGTTTATAAAAATAGGTATAAAATCTCAAGAATAAACAATAAAATAAAAATGAATCATTCTCGAATAGGAAAATATCTTGTCAGGTTTTATTATACGAAAACTAAATATATGACATTCAAGAACAGTTTTATTGATATAGGTACTAACTGCAAATAATCCATACGGTTTTACCAACACGTTGAACTCTTTTTCTCATATAGTAGATGTATTTACAAAGGTTATTTTCGACAGTGTTTTTTCCCAAACGATCACCAATTTGGCATCCTAATGTAGAGCAAAACTTCTAAATTAAAGAATAGCGTCATTGGTACGTTTTAAAATTTCAATAAAATATAGCAGTGTGTTTGAAGACGAAGGACTTTTAACGAGTGCGTGTTGCCTGTGATGATTTGTGAAATAGAAGCATGGTCCAATATGGTTGCCTGTATTTTTTTTACGTGAGTGTGAACAGAAGCATGGTCCAATATGGTTGCCTGTATGCAAAAGTTTCAAATTACTCAGTTATGAAGAGGGCTATACTCAGCTATGGAGAGGGCTATGCTCGGAGTTTCTATGCTTGACAAAATCCAAAATGAGAATATCCGCGAGCAAGAAATATCCATATATAAGAAAGGCGTCAGTGAATGCCGGTAGCTCAGGACCGTTTCTTATGGTACTCTATGATGGAGGCCTATATATATACACAGCAGTGTGTGTAATCAGATGCATTTTTATTATGTTAAAGTAACTCTATAGTTCTCACATTTCGTCGAGCATCTTAAAATTCAACGTAGCAGGAAGCGAGCCTACCGCCGTCAGTTTGATAAATTTTCGTTTATTATCACTCTCTCGAACTCACAAGCTAAATAAATCCGGGTATTAAGATGTAATAGACATGTTATTATATACCTGCCACCGTAAATCTCGTTTGCCAAGGGTGTGAGCTCGTCATCCGAGTTGTCGCTGCCCTCATCGCGACGCTTCCCTCCGGCCGTCGCCATTTTAGACTAGTCTGTAAATTACAATAAAGAATTAATTAGTATATTGAATAAACCACATACTATACTGGTTGTATCTACTAACAATATAGGACGGCTCAATCAAATATTGCAGGATTTCAATGACTCTGAATTCCAATAACAGCAAATTCGAACCCAAACATCTGTCTCAGATTCACATTTTGATCATTTATAAATTAATATACATATTATGGGGTTACTTCCCGCATTTTGTACTTATTACAATCTACGAGTGTATACTCAATTTTATTCAAATCAGTTCCATCATTTAATCATGATTGAATAACAAATATCCAAACTTTCACATCTACAATAAAAGATTTTTTTTTTCATTAGCTCATCGCAACTATATTTCCCGACTTATACTATGCTTTCCAAGTCACGCTTTGGAATGAAGATACACAAGGCTCTCTTAAATATTAGAAACTACAACAACAAAGCTAAACTTAAATAGATCTATAACCATTCGTCACTTAAGAATGTTAAAAATGAACCTGTCCCTTCTACGTCATCTTAACGCGTGCAAATACATAAATTCCAACGCATTCAAACTCTTTGTCAAGGGACGACATTCGATCGTGATTGTTTTTTTCAGTACACATCTGAATTATTCAAAACACACCTATAAAGTGCTAAAATACCATCAGTACATTAACAACATTTGGCAACCACTTCTCAGGTCCGTCCATTCCACAATACAATTTTCGAAATGTATATTTCAAGTAAAAGTAAATAGTTTTGAAAATAATTATAAATAAATAATAATAATGTATTTAATTAAATACCATCGTTAATTGTTTACTTATAACACCTGTTATTAATTGTTGCCACGGGTCTGCATTTATCCTTACTTAATTATAATTAATATGGTATTATGTATATTCATTTCCTTCAAAAAACTGTCACAATCCTAAAATTAATGCTGATCGTGAAGCGGGAAAGTCTAATGAGTAAGAAAAATGCTGAAAATTTCTCAATTGCAGATTACAGTGTGAATTAACGACTCAATTAATTAATCATAGTCACAATTAACTAATAGTGAGGTATTTTATTATCATTTAAAATTAATCGTCAAACAGCTCAAAATTTGGTATAGTTAGATAAACTCTTTATTGTTTTCTCCAAAAGATTACAATAGTTAACTTATTAGAAATATAAATAATTACAAGAAATAATATAATTACAGCGTAAGAAATCTTCATACAGTGGTTTATCATCCTTAGAAATCTGTTGTCATGCTATATTTACCGCAAGGGTCGCCACATTGCAATGATAAAAATATAGCACCCCCGCCCCCCCGCGCCCCCGTCGTCCCTCAAAAGTGATCCTATATGATATATATTTTCATATAGTATAATCGGTATGTAAAAAATTAAATAAGTCTAGTGGCAGGCCTAGCTTAGGGAATTTCAATTGAAGTTCAAAAGAGTTAAAATAATAATTATAATGATGATAACTGTAAATAATATTAAGCGTGTCAATATACATTTTAAATATGAGACAGTTTATTGTATGATAAATGTTTCAGTTAAAAAACTAACAAGAAATCAACTTATTTTTCCAAATTATTAAAATCATTAATTTATTATCATTATAATTTCAGCCATTATGCGTCCACTGCTGGACATAGGCCTCTCCCATAGACTGCTGTAAGGATTATTTATTTATGATTAATTATATATTTTTTACAATAGGTAGTAAAAATGTTGCTTAAGTACAGCGGACATTATAAGACCTGTTTTCTCTTAAGTATATAAACGATTAAAAACATTTGTAGGTATTTTATTATTCTGAAATATAATAATATCTACTTTTTCGCCTGTTCACCAAAGAGTCACCATGAATCACGTCTCGCTTGACCACAACGCATTCCTCAAGCGAGTCTTCGACCTTGCAGGTCATTCATCCTCCCAAGATTTATGTAAGAATTTACATGATTTATTATATAATATTGCAAGTGCATATATTGTATAGGTATACTTTCTAGAAATATATAAAAATATGATTAAAATACTTATTTAAAATTGATATATTATGTATGTTGTCAATATATTCCTAAAACGGAAATAATTACAAATAGGTGCACTTTATGCATTATTTCCTAAAAATAATAAATTTTATTGTATACTATACGTATAGGATACCTTAAACAAATAAGAATACCTATAGAGAGATTAAGTATGTAGCCTATGTAGGTAGGTATATAGAATTTTCTGCATTCTCAAGGTATAAACGCCTACACACCTTTGGTTAAGTAGATGCAACAACACTTACAAGATATATAGGGTAAAATATATCAATAGTACTAGTAACAATACTTGAATGTCTTGTTCTTATAAGTTCAGATGTGTGCAGGGCTGTGGTCGCGTCGCCGGACCCAAGGTCAGCGACTTCCGGACCGCCAGCCTGGACAATGGTTTGCCCTCGGAGTCAGACTATGATACTCTTTGTGAATAGATTGAATACGTATACGTAACTTTGTACCGGTTATATTGCTGAAATTAGATAATTTTATTCCTCAGGCCATGTCGTAATAAACCAATACCCGTTAATAATCGTTGAAGTTTCTTATATTTAATAACAGGTTATTTGTAATTCAACGTAAGTTTATCGAGTAAATATTGTCAATAGAAATTTGTACTTCCTTTATATTCTATTTCACATTCAAATATTTGTTTTGTATAAACGTGGAGTGGATAATGAAACAATATCCCAATGCCCAAGAGAAATTATTTAAATATTTTTTCTTGAACTGGTAATACATAGAAAAAAAATTAAAACAAAGATAAAAACATGTTATTATTTATAAAATATATTGTATAATAATATACACTTTACGTAAAACTTTCGAGGTTAATTCTTTTGTACAAGCTTTGTTCTACAACAAATGTAAATCTGACAATTGAGATAATATAATTCATGTCATAAAGTTGTGAAGAACAAAAACTAACAAGCGGCAATTCGTAGTATAGTTGACGAGGGCCACAGACCTCACTTTCACTAGTGAGGCCGCCAGTCGCCAGCTGGCAACCCCTCCTCCCTCCCCCTTCTGCACACTTCCCCACCATTGCACTGCGCAATACTGCCTTACTTTACGAACCTTTATATTCTGTAGTCAATCACAGTATAATTAGAATTGGTTTTATGGCTTGCAATCAAGAGCTGCAGTATCAACTCATGGCTTAATTTTAATTGTAGCTGCTCTCAACTAAAACATTAGTTTACCTACGCGTATTTATCTACATTACAATTAACAAAATTATGATTTCATATTACATTTTATATTTAGCATGTTTAATTAGCATTTTTAGCATATCTTTATTCGAAATCAGTTACAACCTTATAATTATAAATTTAAGTTCATCTGTATTTTTTTTTATTTTAGCAACATGGCAACATGCAATACCCCAACAAAAAAAAAACATTATACTTACACGTAAATATAAAAGATACTTTACTAATTAAATATAATTGTATAAAAAAAATTGCTTCTAATATACTTAAGGCACGAAATGCATTAGTGAAAGTGGAAAGTTCGGTGGAAGTGAGTTTCGGATAAATATCGATTTGGAATGAATAAATAGAAATCTAAACTCAGATATATATCTTTTGTTAGATATTATATAGATGGAAACATTACATAAACATATACGAGTAAAAAGGTATCGAAAACTAAATAGTTGATAGGTATCTGTAAAAAATCATAAAAATCTTATTATTTCTATTCAACGTCTAAAGCGAATTACTTCGACTTATTAAATAATATTCTAAAGATTATTGAAAACTTTTTATTATCATTTCAGCTATTAATTGTCCACTTTTTAACATATGCTTTTCCCTCAGACTGCCGTAAGAAACGATTCTGAGTCATGCTTAAACTGTGTGTGAAAACTTTCGCAATGCTAGTCTTGCTTGTTTTGAAGATAAAATATTGTATCCGTTACATGAAATATTCTGAGGTGTCATATACCGTGAATAATCTATTAAAATACCTAATACTTCATCCTACTTTTGAATTTAATCTACATATAATAAAATAATATTTGTACATATTAATAAAATTATATAAGTTTTAATACGAGCAATAGAAGTCAAAACAATAAATTTTTATCTATATATTTAATCTGGCATCCTACAAAATCTACTGCACCAAATTGAATACAATTTTTACAGTTGTGTTTACCTGAAGGTCAAACTGATTTTGTTACCTACTTCCAAAATCCATGCGAATGAAGTTACGGGCAACGTAAGTGTAATAATATATGCACATATTAGAAAATCATGTGCTAGAAATCTCTTGAAGCGTAGACAGTGGTCATAGCATCGTGGCCGACCTCGCCGCATTAGTATTACCTCAAGTGACAACATGCCAACATATCTATTTTTTTAAACTGTTACTATTTTTTGTTTTGTTTCATTTGCCTAAAAGAAACCGGAATTTACTCAATAGGATCTTATTAGACGTATATCCTACATGGGTTTTATTTTTACCTCTTAAGATACAAAATACTAAAAGTAGAATCATAATGTGAAAATGAGTTTGTTTGTTTATGTTTCTTACAGGTTTTATGAGATCATTTGAGAATTTATTCATTCATTCACTGTTAACTGCTGAAAATAAGCTTCACTAATTGGGAGGTTTTTCAAATAGATGCCACGCTTGGCTGGCGTATTGGCAAACGAAATTAGGCTTTTGGTAATATTTTAAGAGAAATGCTGGTGTCTATCTTTCGACCTTTAAGTTCCTTTAGTTGCCTTTTACAACACCCACGAAAAAGGAAGTGGTGGTCCATTCTGAGCCGGAACCACACACTTAACTTGAGCATACCGTACATTTTTTTATAGTTATGAGTCGCATAAATAGCAGAGCATAGCATAAAGAAACATTATACAATTACATTTTATCCCAGTCGATCAATAAGTTCATGTCCCGCGGTCGAAATCATGACTTTAGCTTGTAATACCAGAAGGAGACTTTGTAAAAAAGTCGTCT